CTTCCGCTGACCACGCAAAATTCCGCTACGCTCCTTTCACCAACTGGAGAGAAAGGAGGTATTTCTTGGCGAGAAAACAGAAATTTTGAATTTAGCTGCAGAGGCGTCACTTTAGGCTTGAGGATCTTTTACATGCAAGGCAAATCTACGAAACATGGGACGCCGGCTTTAACTTCCCCTCCGAAGGAAGGCGTACGAACGATTTTTTCGCCCTTAAAAATCCACGGCTTCGATCGGGTTTGAACCGCGCCAACTTGGGTAAACAGTCCCAGTACGCTAACCGTTGGTGTACGCTAACCGTTTGTGTAATGGATGGTAATCGTGTATGGGGACTTGAGGGTAATGGATGTAAGACGTTCATGTCGGGAAAAGTTTTCCGCACAACAGCGAGTTTGGAAAAGCCTAGCAATTGGTCGTGTATCTGATTGGTAATGAGGTAAATTTTAGAACGGCATGACCGGAAGAAATGTGGAATCACCGGAAATTTTTATAAATACAAGGCGGGATGGAAAATGTGGGCAATGTCCGGAAATTTTAAATAGCGGGGGGGTGGTTGTCGGAATATAGGTTGATGTGTTCGTAACGCTGGAAATGGAATATCACAAAGGACCGGATCGCTAGGACGGTGTCTGAATGTCGCAACGGCGAAAGTGAAGAGAGTGGTTGGAGTTGCGGAGGTGGGCATAGAGTAGAATAGGAACTGCGCGGCAAGACTACGGTACACTTACGTAAAATAAAACACTTTTCAATCAATAAACAATGGAGGTAAGAATAAGAAAAATAGCCCCCACCCCAAAATCAAATATTCCCATTCTTCAGTGAAAATCGTAATGAAATTATTTTTGAATTTTTTTCCCTATTATCGTGGGCATGTAATGAAAGCAGAGACACCCTGGCATATGAAGCGGAGGCTTGCGCAGTTTTCCTTCAATTTTTCTGGCGTGCTTTGCAAATTAGTACACGATACCCTAAATGTTCGAGGCAACAAAATCTCAAAAATTCAGAGAAACTAATTGCTCATCGGGAAATGAGGAAGGTGTGTTTACGCAGAGCCCCAACTAGAGGCCTCTTTTTGGGGCGGGGGATTGGTGAAACGTTTAAAATAAGTTGCTGTTTCATAAAGAACACGTGAACAGATGCGATTTAATGCGGGCGGCCTCTTCCTTGCTGTGGCAATGCGGAAGCTGTGTCGGAAGGAGTGATGCACTGCGTCTCGATAATTCATCCGTAACACGCAGTATGAGATTGG